GCCTGGCCCGCAGGGATGTGCCCCTGCGTGTGAGGAGGGTGGCCGCAGGGTAGGAGCGACCCCTCCTCTCTGCCAGGGTTTTCCCCCTGAACTTTCTGATAGCCGAGCCTGTGGTGAGGTTAGCCCTCTGTCGCCTCCTGAGACTCGTCGCCTCTCTGCCACCCACGTCCGTCTCCCCCTTGCCCCCCCCCCTTTTTTTTTTTTTTTTTAAGGAAAGGGAGAGTCATACATCACGTAGTTTTACTGCATGGAGCTGGCTCCATTGCTTAGACTTTATGATGAATTGTGGTGAGTGCATAGCTTGTAAACTTCTTCCAGTTCACCTTTTTGAGTGGAAAAGTATGCATCTTTGTACAGTATGGCACCTTTGCTGGAACGAAAAGAAACGTTTAGTGGGTAGCTGTAATTCCCAAAGCAGCCTTATTTGCTAAGGCTACTTCATGCCCCTCTAATACCAGTTATCCACGATAGGCTTATGAAGATAGTTTATTAACTTTGTCAGTTTTTCATTACCTGAATTACTTTATCTTGAGATTAGAGGTATTCTGCCTTAGGAACTTAAGGAGTGAGTTGTGTAAGGTATATAGGAGATGGCCGTGATAGCGGATAAATGAGGTTTTTGTGAAGCATGGACCAGGCTACTGTTGAGGGCTTCTGCAGAGCATAAGAAACACTTATTAGCATTGGTGGCAGAACTTCATATGTGTCTAAGAAAGTCAGTAAGGATACTGACAATACTAGGAGAATATTGATTCATGTGAGACTTTGCAACATGTTTGTTTAATGTGATCTTGAAAAAAGCTGGATAAACACTTCTGACATCAGAAGCATCTTGCTGTTATGTCTTTCTCATGCTTCCGTACCCTCTAGAAACGAGGGCAGAATAATTGACAAGACTGTCCATTAGCTCACTTCTTGAGTTGAAAGTGCTAATGTAAAAGCTATCTCGTAGCTCAAGACACACACATAATACTGCAAAACAGCTGCAGAGGTTTTCAGCTGCTTCATTTACTTCCACCATTTTAGTGGTGCTTTGGTGCGTTAAGTATCAGGTTTTTCCTTCTGGTTCACTGCTTCTTTCTTATTTTTGACCCCAGTAGAGATTTAATTAATATCTTCTTTTGATTGCTCTTAGCTCAGCTTGACTCCTTGCTTTCATTTCAGGGTTGATTTAGGAAACGTAGCAGAGTGGAACAGTCCTATTTCTTACTTCTGTCTGCTGTCCTTTTTGCAGATTTTTTGACAGACAGTCTCAAGACTGAGTAGGCTGGAATAGTCTATGATCATGCTGGTGGTCTTTGATTTATTTAGTGTTGATGCTGACAGCTGACATCTGCGTTGAAGAGCTGCAAGCACAAAAGGAAGAACCAGGAAGAAGCTGGTTTTATTGACTGAAATTAATCTGCAGTTGAAATATAACTGGAACTACACCATTGGTGGCTTTGTCCATTTCTGTTGCATGTATGCATAAATTGAGGCATTATTTTTTCATGAGGTGGAAATAACATCTGTGGTACCAGGCTTCTTCACCACAGATCTTTAGCTGTTTACAGGAATGAAGTAATCCATACCTAATTTTATAGATCATGTATTTAATAGTTATCACTTGAAATGGGACCCTGATCCCATTTTGGAATTTAAATGGAATTGGAGGGAAATAGTGGGTACCACTTATGACCTCTTTGTTTCTATTATATAGGTATTAGTATTATGCACATTTTGTATCTGTTTTCAAATCTCCCTGACAAACTGTTGTTATTTGCCTGTTGGTTCTTCTCTAACTGCTGGAAGAAAGAGCCACACATCCTCCGGAGAAACAACTTATGCAAGAGAGAATGTGTAATTATGTGAAATTATCTGTACTTAAGAAGCCTGCCACTGTAGTGTGATAAACTGAGATAAATGTTCCTCTCATTCCCTTCTCTTCAACTCTTTGCAAAGCACTTTAAACAAAGATTGGTAACCCTTTAGGAAAGAGCTGGCAGTTCACATCCACCTGCTGAAGTATATGTGCAGAAATGTGAAAGTAGAGGGTGGGATTCACATGGAATAAGATATTAGATAATCATTTTTAGCAGAAATGGTGCCAGGTATAGAGTCTAGGTGCCATTGTGACATCTCAGTTCTTGCTGTAGTAATGCATTAAAATCCTACGAAGCTGTGAGAAATGCTGTGATGCACATATATATTGGTTTTAGTGCCATTACCTCTTAAAGAGGAATGTATATAGACTCTTTCTCTCTCTCTCTCTCTCTATCTCTCTATCTGTATTTAAACTCTGTCGGCGTCGCCCCAGATGCTCTGAGTTTGTAGAGGATTTAATCCATTTTCAAAATAGTGCTAGTAGTATTTATATTCCCATAGCTGCCTAGGAGCGCTAACCACAGATGAGGTGTTAACACAGGAGGAAGTCAGTGTTATAATAAGCTTTGAATCTGTAAAATGAAAAGTGACAAGTGAATTTAGATAGAAAGGGAAATAATGCTGATCAGCAAAATATGTAGGGGGTTCAGCATAGCCTAACCATTGCCAATTTGCTGAAAACACCAAATGGGAAAAGAAGAGTGCATGGGGGGGTTGAAGGGCTGGGATTTCTGTTGATTTAAAGGAGGATTATATATACTAGTTTTTGGTG